AATATCAATATGTTAAGATAGAGAAACTAATATTTACTATAGAAACTAAGAGAAAGACTAAAATAGATGCGATAATTTGATCAATATTTAAATTGTTTTCTCCTTAATGTTATGTTTATGTTTAGACAACACTCGTTTAATTCACATATTTCTTAATCAAATTTCATCGCTTGTTATCGATTTTTTTCAATGGAAAAAGCCAACTTTCACAGAAGATGGCAATGAAGATATGTTTGCATGCATTTTAACTGTATTCTCTAAGTTACAATATTTCCATTTTGGTCAATCTCCATCTCGATATCAACGATTGTGGTTTACAATTCCTCCAACTATTTTCTCTTCATTATTGTTAGAATTGCATGTCCACGTCGAGAATTTTACCGCTTGTCTTTATTTACTTGACGGTCGTTTCGTTTCACTTCAAAGACTTTCTGTTGCTATTTATCGGATATTATCTCCACAGATAGTAATCGATAATAAAGTAAATTGCACAGATAAATATGTAATATATTCAAATAAATTGATTTATTTTTTTAGAAACAACTACCCAACCTAAAACTTTTTTCGCTTCGTTGTGAACGGGATACAGATAAGTATAATGAATTGATTGTGCCACTTCTTCATCGAATGTCGAATCTCGGAGAACTTGACTTACATCTTGTAGTGTATTGTGAGAAAAGATTTATTGATGGTTATGATTTGAAATACAATATTATCAATCATTTATTACGATTAAATAAATTTGCATTTAACATACGATCACGTCTGCCTCTAAACGATCAAGTTTATTTATCATCAAATCAAGATTATCAACTTTCATTCAATGGCTTTAGAAATAATAAAATTATTTTATGTGTTGATTATTTCTCAAATCGCAAAGAAGGTCAATGTCATACTTATTCATATCCATACGAAGCAAAATGTTATGAATCTATTACAAATAATTTCCCAGGTGGATTATTTAAATGTGTTCGCAAAGTCTCATTATACGACGAACGTCCTTTCGAATATGAATTCTTTTTGAAAATTGCTAAATCTTTTCCATTTATGAGAAAATTAACTGTAAACAATGATAAACCACAGAAGAACAAATTTGATGAACAATCAAAAGATGATAATCGACATTTATCAATCATTGAATATCCTCATCTTACTTACCTTGATCTGAATTATGCTCATGAAGATTATGTCGAACAATTTCTACTGGATACGAAAACATGTTTGCCAACAACATTCAAACTGGAAGTTGACTATGAATCTATAGATCAGGTGACACATAATTTTACAAGAGATGCAACTCGAATCAATTGTGCCAAATTGCTTTTTTTATATATACCTTCTGAAATTCCAATTTGGCAACAGCTAAAAGACTATTTTCCTCTTACAATAATTCGTTCTTTTTAATTAATGTAAATAAAACTGATTACAAGTAGATGGATTAATAGAGAATTAAAGATGTGAACAATAGAATAAAGGAGAAATGGCTTGTTCTACATGCCATTTGAGAGAAAAAGATTCTTGGGGAATCTCAAAATGATTTCATATGAAAACATCTGTTTAGAAATACAAAAGAAAAATTTCGAAGATTTTCATTATTATTTAGATACTCGTTTCCATGCTCTGCTCAATAGTTTAAATCTGTTCGTGGTGTTTCTATACCAATTACAGGTGTAAAAAGAGTTGGAGTGTGGTTATTGGTCAGTGTCAATGTGGATGTAAGAGATGAAACCAATCGCATACTGACACTCATCCAGATTCACATCCTCACCCAGATGTACACGATCAGTTGCAGCTATATCCACTAAATTTAATTAAAATACGTTTTGTGATAATGAGATGCTATATAAATAAAAACAGTTTCTTCTTCATCTGTTTATAACCTTCAAGTCAGGAGAATATAATGAAATTCGTTGTGCTAGTTGCATTGTTTTTAAGAATGGTTCTTCTATAATTGTTCTATTAGCAATGTTTTCGAAACTGTATGTGAGGTTTTTTCAAAAAGGGTGTGGGGTGTGCATGTCGGGAGGAATGCGGATGGAAGTGAGGGATGTGGGTGTGATTGCTTGGCTTCTTTTCAGACGTACACACATCGACAACCACACTCACACCGCTCACCCCACCCGCACTCCTACCGGCATGCACACCCTCAGCCACACCCACACCCAACTCTGAAGTCAAAAATTAATTATTGTCAAGAAATTTAGTTGACTCCGAAATTAACTCCGATGCAAGTCTCTAGTTAGCTATCTTTTACAGTCTATTGTTGTTTATATGATTCATTCTGTGTTCTATTGTGGAAAGCAACGATACTATTGAAGGTGTTTTTTCTGAGATGATACTTGAGGGTGTGGGTGTGGGTGTGGGTGTGTGGGTGTGTGGGTGTGGGTGTGTGGGTGTGTGGGTGTGGGTGTGGGTGTGAGGACGTGGGTGTGGGTATGAGGACGTGGGTGTGGGTATGAGGACGTGGGTGTGGGTTTTCTCTTCGTTTCCTCACCCACACTCAGACCGGCACCCACACCCACACCCCACAAATGCAACATGACTCTGATTTCTTGTCGCATACTAACTGAAATTACGGTCGGTTTATTCGTTACAGATTCTTAGCTGTTTCTAAGTCTAGTTTTTCTCAACGATTTTGACTCATAGCTAAGAACCACGATTATCATCCTAGAATGTTGAAATTGTTAATCTATCTACATATACTTTTAATTTTCTCTAGTTATATGCCTCGTCTCAATCATTTTTTTTTACCATTGTTTTATTCAAATAAACTGTTCTTATAATATTTAAAATTCATCAGTAGTGAGGTCTAACTCTTTACTCCATGGCTTCTCTACAAGTTCATCTAGCTGTTTACCTTCATATATCTGACCATTTTTCATTTTAGTGTTAAGCGGTCCTAGGCATTTTTTGAATACCTATAAAACAATAAATGCTTTAAAGTTCAGTTTTTCAAAGCTATCTACAGACAATTCTGTTACTCTTCTTCTTGAATACACAATGAGTTTTATAGATCACTTCTATGTGTTCTAGATAAAACACGTAGCCGAAATCACAAACTACCAGTCATAAGTTTGACAAAATTCAACAAACTGAACGCGTTTGTATCGAAAATAAACCAAGACAATTATATAATACCACTGAAACGTGTACAGTGAGCATTTACTATGTATCTAACTGGTGACGTAAATTTCTATCTAAATAACTGCTTAATTGTTGATTGAGCTACATGTATACTGAGTTATCTAGCTCATTTCATGTTTACCTATTCAAAAGCAACATACCTACCTACTTACCAATCCGTGATTCTTCACACTTCTCACTACATTTCTACAAAATTCTTACTTTTAAGGAGCATTATATGAAATGTAACTAAGTTTTTTTAATATTGTGTACGAAATGAGTTCTTTAAAACAGTGAATATGAAAAACGTAAAAAAAAATTATAGTTGAAAACGATACATCGGTCACCGCACCCTTCTATCGTTAATGTTTGTTTTTCGCACTAAGATACTAGAAGAGAAAAAAGTTGTCAGGTTGTTTCTTTTTGTTATATTGATGATACAAAATAGGTTAAAGGAAAGACAAAGGATCAAAAGGGGAACAGCATAATTCTTATTTTTTGCAATTGCTGACATTTTATCATACGTCTTCGTGTTTTTCTGTCCTTCATCATACTTCTGGGTACTTCTTGAATTGTTCTCTTAATTGTTTTTTCTACTCTGTACTTTTGAGATACATAAATATTATGTTCTCCCTGGAATTGAATCTTTAGAGAATTTCTCTGATCTTGAGAAATTTCTCTGCTAATACTGAACAGTTGATTGCTGTTCATTTGAATTTTGTATTATGTCTGGTTTATGACGATTTAGTCCATTTTCGCCGAAAAAATTTTTCGCCGAAGACGAATTTCGCCGAAAAGAAAATTTCACCGAAGGAAATTCGCCGAAAAAAAGTTCACCGATTCTATTTTCGCCGAAAGAATTCGGTCACCGAAAACAAATATAAGTTGAGCTTGATCATGTAAATAACAATTCTATTGAGNTTCAGAAGTTTCCGACAACGTCTCTCCGAGATACGAAGATTTGAAAAAATGCATACTTTATATACCATCTATGAAAAAGGATCTGTACCTTGATAGTTCCATATTTCGAAGAAACTTTGTCCGAAACGTCTGAAATTTTTTATACAAGCTGGTCTAGCTGAGGCCTTTATGTGGGCCAGGTTTCAGATCAAAATTCAAAAATATAGCTTTGCTGCAAAAGTGGGGTGCTCTAGAAAAAAGACACTAAAAACTCGATATCTCGTCAAAAACAAGCCAGGGGGACGAACTTTTTTTTACCATAGACATAGCTCACTATAGGCTACAAGATGCGCAAAACTCCGACTAAAAAGCGCTCTGGCACTTGGGAAAGTTCCCTTGTAAGCATAGGCATATGGGTAAGTAGATTAGGCAAATTGTATTAATGTAGCGGTCTCTACGAAAGTCTTCGTACGAAATCTTATTTTCGATTTGATAAAAAGGTTTTGTGAGAAATTTCTGCTACCAAACCTTTCTTAGCTTCGCAAAAAAATCGTTTTTTAGAGTGTAGTTCCCTATGTAAAAAGCGAACTTCATAACAATTCTTATGAGAATCTTTTGAGATTCCTGAGTGTGAATGTGGGGTCTGCGATGCGATGTTTCAATTCTCAAACAATCACACCCACACCCACACAGCAATGCAACATGTGTTTTAAAATAACGGAAAGCTTCGAAGCTGAACGCATCTCTACTCATATTAATATAATATTAATAAAAGAATATGAGAATGAGTTATCTAGATCATTATTATGAAATAAATTATGATTAACAGAACTGCGTAGATTATGGAAAAAGATTTAGCATAATTGTAGTTGATATTTCAAAATTCTTTGAGCATATATGACAACTGACTATTCGAATGAGTCTAACTCATTTAAACTCTTTAGACATTAAGCAAAATTATTCAGAATAACGTGATAGCTGAACATATACTGAATTTATATCTATTAGCTATGACGCAAAAAAGTCTTCGATTGGGTCAACATGACTGTCATGATATATAAATATAGACAGGAAGATATTAAAATCAATATTATTGTAAAACATTGCCGAAAGACAATCGTTGGGAAAGATAAGATTGAAAAATAGAGCAGATCGCAGTAGATAGTTCAATCACTTCGACTCTAATCGCCAACTATTCCTGACATCTGACATGGTTATTTGATATGAAAAGGTAAGAATTTCTTAATGAGATCGATTATGAATTATCATGCGTTTCGCTCTTCTGAGTTTTTATTACAACTGTGTTTTGCATAATACGAGATTCATTTTTATAAAAGATATCCGTTTCAAGATAAGACTTTCTTTCAATGAACTTACCAATAGAATTGCTACTTTCATCATCATTGAATACGCCAGCTAATGCATTTGGATTTTTAAGTGCAAGTGACTTTTTATGCCATTGGACGCTCTTGTCATAGTCACCGGTATGTGATGCAATTTTGCCAAGATCTTCGTACAAATCACTAAGTAAAGGATCATTTGGTGAGAGTTCTTTCAATAAACGAGTAAAATACTGTTCAGCTAAATTAAGCTTTCCCATTTGCCATAGTAATTTTCCTAATGTTCGAAGGTTTGTTTGTCCACAACCAAGTTCATATTTCGTATACATAAGAACATTTTTTAAATCATGCTCTTTCTCACTACACAAAGTCATTAGAATGATCCATACTTGATCATCACTGCTGTGATTGACGTTGTCCAAACGAAAAATAGAACCAAGCATAAAAAGTATTTCTGATTCGCCAGGAAATTCACTAAATGCACTGATATCGGCAAATGGTTTTGTAGTTGCCACCTTAGGATCAGCAACAATTTCAAATAATACTGGCTCTAAGTTCTCTGCAGCATTAGGATCATTGAGAAATGAAAGAGCTTGTCGATAATCAGTACTAGTGGAAAAAAATGAATTCAGTGAAATAAACTGGCCAAGGTATTGTTTTAAAGTTTTCACTTCATCAGTTGATATTCTTTGCCCTCGATAAACTCGTAAAGAATTCTTAATTTGATGATTTTTCAATTGACATTGAATATCAGAGATAAATGCACGAAATAAAAAAATCATGTGAATATTTTCAGTGCGTAAAACTGCATTAAGAGTCCTGTGAAAGAATGATTCTCGTGTGTACCATCTTAAGACTTCGTCAGGCTAATAATTCTTTTGAAATTCGCGAAGATTGCTTAACTCTTTATCATTACCTTCATATTCATTTTTACAAATCTTAATAAGCTCTTTGGTATCTGCTTGAGTAGATTTAAGTCGCAAAAGACAATCAATAAGAACTTGTGAAAAAACGAATTTTCCGTTTACAGTGTTTGTTGATTTACCTGCACCAGAATCTGTAGTGAAAGTATTGAGTGACAATGGTTCTTCTACAATCTTTTGAATTTTATGATCACCCTTAATTCGAGATACGAGTTCATCAAGTTCAACCACAACAGCTTTTACCTATCAAGAAAAAATATCATAGAATGAAATCTAGATCATTCCGTTTTATTTTACTGTTGCAAATTTGACAGCCCAGTGTTTGTTCCTTTCCTTATCCATGCAGTACACATAGATTGATACAATTTGTCGAATTTTGTGAACAGAAGGAACTATTTCTCGTCCCAATCGACCACTAACAATCATCACTATCCGTTCATTTTGTGATCGTTGTTCAATATATTTTTGACATTGTTCTAAATCATGAAATTTCTTGAGACGATTAATAATAGAACGTAATTTTTGTTCCGTGTCTCGATTATCTTTGGCTTTAATATTATTATCGAGCCAGATAATACAAAAAATTTCAAGTGACTGACCGCCGACATCTGCATGGAAGTTATCAATAGGTAGAGCAGCTTTGGCCATGTTAATCAAGAAAGATGAATAGAATAAATGTTTCGTATATCGTCGTCTTGACTCAGTTAGCAAATGTATGAATGCTTTTTACAATCTAAAACAAATGTTATACAGTCACTTTTATTATTTTATTTATTAGTATTTATGATGCTATCTAAGACGATAGAAGAACAAGAGATTCAAATTCGTCAAGGAAAATGGCACTTGTTTTACGTTTAGTCACTTTAGCAGTATTACAAATCAGGCGATATCATCTCTCATTAATTTGGGCATTGTTAGTCAGCAGATATGTAGATTTCTAACTCCAATCAGTAAGAATCATAGAATTAGTTTTCCTCTTTCGAAACTCCCTACAGCAAACTTAGGTGAATCTATAGAATCGAAACGTGCATTCAAACAATGCTGTTTCTTATCTGATTTAAACAAGTTCTACCATAGAACATAGTTCTATAAACTGTCACTAGAAAAAATAATAAGCGCAACTTTGTTACAAAAAGCTATCATCTTCGTTGAATTCTTCAAATATACAATAGTAAAATATAAATTGTAATCTTCATTCTCTAAGTATTATTATGACAGATCTTTCATTGAGATTGCTGTCAAGAAGGTAACAGATCTTTTTTTCTTTGAAACCTACTCTAAAGTCGCAAAGATTTCGTAAAAGAAAATATTAATGTTTATTATATCTGAATTTGAGGAATCGTTCTCTTCGCAGGTAAGGTATAATTCTAAAGAAGAAGAAGAAGGAATCTTTCTTTCTTTCATGTTGAGTTTAAATCTTAAACATTATGCTGCTCATTTTTCGTCCGATGCATGAAATTAACAAGAAACATTTCACATAACATTAAATTATTTAATAATGATAATACACTGAGAAGAATCGCATTGTTTGAAAGGAAAAAAGAAATACTTCTTTAGTTGATATACACATCCATGAACAAGTTTATCAATTCTCATTGTTGCTAACAAGCGTTTCCGGAAAAACTTGTATACAGAGTAGAAAAACACTGTAGGTGAAATTTACTGAGACACTTAGGGTAGTGACTCTCATGACCCTTTTTTTCAGATTTTCTTCCTACTTTAGTCTTCAGACATACAGGAAGTCTAAAAGTTTTCAGTACACCTGAGATATATGGAAAGGATGTGAGTGTAGATCTTTTTTTTTACCTACACCCACACCCTTAATAAGGATGAAGTCGAAAGAACACACAAATGGTACGTCCCCTAAGTAAGAGCGAAAACAAGGGCTGATAAACCCCAATTGATTCTCATAGGTCTCTCTCTATCTTAGTAGAGATGGCATACTTAATAAATCAAGATATATCTTTACAGATACCACAGATAAATCTTTTCTATGAAAGTAATATAGAAATTCTGAATTAATTTGGTATTCATTAACCTTATGAACTCTATATTATTAGATTAATTAGACTAACTTATTAGTATGAATGAAAGAAAAATTTTCTATTTCCATCTTATTAAATCAATGAAAATGAAGGAAAAGAGTGATGAACATCATAACAATTAATAATTTTCACAAAGATTGAAAGAATTATCAACTTAACAAGAAGAGAATAGAAAAAATTAATGTCACATGAAATGGTCATGCAACACAAAACACTATGGCTTCATATTGATACATTGTGATATGGTCCAAAGGTCTTCAGTCTCACTGGTTTTCATTGCATTGTAGTCCGATGCATTTCAGATTGATTTTGAGACAGTATTGGAAGACCCGAAGTTTTTAACTTTCATCCATCCTCCCTGACATTAATATTTGATTATCGTGTCGGTAGCATTTTTATAGCTATTTTCATCAAAGTCTTAGTTACATTATACTAACAGTTTAACGCTCACCTCTTGATTAGCTAAACATAATGCATAGTATGGGTCAAAAATGAAACAAACTAATCATGCAGTATATAGAGATAGTCAATGAATTGAGATTAAGTAAAATAATACATAACTGTGAGATGGACGCAAAGATGTCAACCAATGAGACCAATGACTAAGAGACATTTATCAAACGATTATCGAAAAGAAAAGTCGGTCATTGGAATCGATTTCATATCTGTCTCAATCATGTCTAACACGCAGATCACAATGGCATTATGTGTATGCTATTTAATAGATATGTTTCTACTTTTGGCATTATCATAATAGATCACTCACGACAACGAAATGAGCGAAATCCAATATATGGAGAAAATATTATGTTGAGGTGCTGTTGAAAATACTTGATGTTATGTGTATGACACGGTTTGCTTGTTTTGTCGAATGATTCTTTTTACCTTTGTAACAAGGCACTTTTATTCTTTTTCTATCGTTCGTTATTCTGTGCAGTTTTCTTCCTTTTTTGATTTTTTGTGAATTACATATTCTATCGCGAATCAATCTATACAAGATACACACAGAAAGTTGCACACTGCAAAACTTGTGTGCAAAACGATACGCTTCAGTGATTTGCTTAGAGTGAGTTTTGCATACGAAATTAAAAAAATATATAACTAAAAAGATATCGAAAGGCAAAAGGAAGGAAAAAAAATCAAATGGTTTTTTCTATTTTTAAAATCCGTGATATGTTATATTCATATATGTAAACAAAAACCACCAAAAAAGAGTCTGTAGCTTTACTTATACGAAGTCGATATCAAATTATTACAATTGTACATATTTCTCTTCATATATACTTCGAACTTTTCTTCTTGAAAAAAAAACTAGTCTAATGATGTTAGAACATCACAAGGGTTGTATGATTAATAATAACAGAATATAATTTTGTGTATACGATAAATACATCCTTGCTTAACAATTAACACATCAATTTACTCAAGTAAATCTCCTTGCACAAAATGCGTGAATTACAAATAATTCAATAGAAATATGACAATACTGGCATCTAGAATAATTTTTGAACTCCATTAACGCAAGAATGATATTTGCGTTGATTGTTGCTGAGGGTTTTTCATAATCCTTGATAGATCCTTGCAAATCATCAGAGAAACTTTGTTGAAGATGTGAGTATGAGTGCTATATGCAGTTTTTTCATCGTCCATCAACATACTACACACCCCGTACTCGCACGCACAACCCATATCCATACCGACACCCTTGTTGTTCATGTTGTTAGGCTGTATTACTGTTTCGTCAATTAGATTTGCGAACATTTCTTCTAGTGTAAAATGAAACAAAAAACATTCGTAAAGTCATTAGTATTCATCAACAAACCAAAATGTTGTATGAAGCTGATGATGGAAACACGTTTAATTCAATATTTGAACTTGATAAGTTCTTAGTAAAACAAAACATTGTAACATCTTTTGCAGCGAATTCTTTCAAATTTTATGTTGCCACTGACAATAATATGCTAGAGTGTGGGTGTGGGTTCGTGTTTAGATGAAAAAAACACTAACACCCACACTCTTATATATCTTTGAGGTCTCGAAACGATTTTTGGTAAAAAAGAAACAAAAACTTTTGTCTCGTTAGCTGTCGTTTCTTACTTTGTCTGTCACAGCCGCCGGCTTCCATATTGACAGACTGATAAAAATGTTATCAAGGCATATTATATTTTAACGCAAACAGTCAAAGGTTAAAAAGACAAACAAAGGAAGCATTATTTTTTTGTGCTGATATAAAAATACAACTGTTTCCGACCTTCTATTTCATTTTTTTAAAACAAAGTCCTTTCAGATATTTCCACACTTCCGGTATTGTGTGTGGCACCTATATTCGTGTCATTAAAATAATATTCAATTTCATATCATATGGCTTGCAAATCACCAATTCTAAGCATCAAAGAAAAATCATCTGTAAGTACAAACGGTGATGAAAATAAAGAAAATATAACACTAATTTGGCTTGATCCAAATATTGGTTCACGTGAGAATACAGAAATCACAAAACAGCAGCTTCGTTCTATTAATGATTATGTTGCTTACGATATCGACCTTGAACGATGTATTAAATTTATTCAAATCACTAATAAAATAGAAATCTTTTTAATTACATCAGGATCAAAAAGCATCACAAATTTTACCTCGAATTTGTTCTTTTCGTCAAATCGATTCCATTTTTATCTTTTGTATGAAAAAAGAAAGATATGATTATTTATTAAATGAATATTACAATATAATTGGTATTTATATTAATCTTGATGATTTATGTAAATTAATTAAAGAACAAACTGATCTTGTTAATAGGCAAATGCAAACATTTTCTTTTTTTGATCAACATGAAAAATCGATCAAAGATTTATCCAAAGAATCAGTAGTTTATTTGGTTTCAACTATTCAGTTATGTTATTGTTCGTCTTCCACGAGACCAACAAGCAAAAGAACAAATGATTCAAATGTGTAAAGAATATTATCGTGGAAATACAAAAGAAACGAAATTAATCCAAGAGTTTGGACAAAATTATAGAGCAGAAGATGCAATTCGTTGATCTTCAAAACAATCATTTGTTTATAAATTAATTAATAAAGCATTAAGAACAGAAGTTGTCGATCTATTATATAAATTTCGATTTTTTATTAGTGATCTTTCTGAAAGTCTTCAATGCCAACATGAAAAGATCGTAAAATCAGAAGAAAAAATTTTGAATGTTTATCGAGGAACGATACTTGACAGAGAAAAATTTGATAAATTAAAAGAAAATCAAGAAAAGCTTATTTCAACAAATGGATATTTATCAACTAGTCGAGACAGATAATTAGCATTAAGTTTTGCATTAAAACCAACAAAAAGAATTGATGTTATTTCTGCTCTTTTCCATATCCGATGTCATATTAAACAAATTGATAAAAATATTATTTTTGCTGACATTAATGAATTTTCTGAGTATCCAAATGAACAAGAAGTTTTATTTGATTTAAATGCTTGCTTTCAAATTGAATCTATTGAAGAAAATAAATCATTAACAACAATTAAAATGAATCTTTCAAATGAAGGACAAAAAAATTACTCAAGACTTTATTGCATTAACACAAAACGAAACAGAAGAACTAAGTGTTTCAATTGTTTTCGGCAAAATGTTGTATAGCTTAGGTGAATATGATAAATCACAAAAATATTTTCAACAATTATTCACTGATTCCAATGATGAAGATCGAGCATGGATTGAATATAATATTGGTCAAGTTCTTCTTTGTAAAGGTGAATGGAATAAAGCTCGAGAATATTATGATCGAGCTTATGATAGCATGATGAAAAATAAACCAGCACGAATCAAAGATTCTGCTCATGTTCTCAGCGGCATTGGTGACATTCTCCGTAAGCAAGGAAAATACGATGAAGCTCTTGATTATCATCAGAGAGCATTAAAAATTCGAGAGAAATATTATCCATTTGGTCATGTCGATATATCTTATAATTTCTCTAGCATTGGATGCGAGTACTAGTGTGTTTATGAGTGGGGATTAGATCAAAATTGGCATGCTACATCCCATCCTACACTCTCAGCTTTCTGCATAAGTTACATGAAACATAACAGGAAAGGCAATACAATTTCTTGGATTTTTTGAAGTAACCGAAAAGGATTCATAAAGAAAAGGTGTAGGTGCGGGTGTGAGTTTTCTTTTGACTAAAACCATACCAACACGTACCCAAATCCACATCCACATCGTACCCACACCTCACATTCAAATATGCGACTGGAATTTGTAGTTGTCTGTTGATATATTCACTTATGATAGAAAACAAAAGTGTTTATCTTATATAATAAATTTCAAATCATCATGATGTTTAGAATCATAAAAATGCAAAATCAGACTTTGATATTGTTTTCACTTAGTGTTTTTTTTTGGATAAGTGATTTGCCTACAATCATTTTACATTATATTTTCTTCAGCATGATCAGTGTAATTACTCAAGCTGTTAACAATAGAGCGAGGTGGAAGTTGACGAGAGATAAATTGTGACGATGTCGAAAATTTCTTTGGTTTGTCGTTCAATCGGGGTTCTTCATCTAAATCACTCTTTTCCCATCTACTTAATTGTAATGATGGCTGAAAGGTAGCAGTAACATTCATATTGACATTTGCAATAAAGCCTCTACTCATACCAGCTTTTCATTGCATCGAAGATAATTTATATGCGGCATGAAAAATTACATGAGATCTTCTGTTGACAGGATTATTGTTGATCAAAGATTCGAATAAAAAGCGGACACTGAACAAAAGAACAATATTGCAACTTTATTTGTTTTTTATACCGCACTCTATCAATGGATGCGACAATGGCTTCAGCACAAGTAACAAGTTAATCAAATGATCCACGTTCCAAAGATAACATCAGATAATACAAAAGAAAGAAAAGCTTTGATTAAGCTTCACCAAACCAATCCTCACTTGAATATCAAATTGTGCTAGAGAGAAGCAAACAGGAGTGTGCAGCAAAAAAAACATCAATACTTGAACAAAAATAGTAAACAAGACAGGGAGTATAGAATCAGATAAAATGTGACACATCATTTTTATTATATTTCAAATAACTAATGAAACTATAATATTAATTTCAAAAAGATGATTTCATCATGCGACAAGAATTAACCTCGTAAAAATTTCAACATGACAAATTCATAGTAAAGAAGAATTAATTTAATTAAACTTATCGAAATATCCCAAAACAAAATCGTGATAGAAACACAAAAAAATTCTTTTAAGTTTATCATCTGAAGTCTCTTTATGAACTGATGGACTTGACCAGCGATTTTCTTCACATATAAAGTACCGATCTTTTAGGTGGTAGATGATTGATCTTGAATTTGGAATCATCGAAATTAATGATAACCGAAGAAAAAATGACTTCTTTACATTAGAAATAGTAGAAAAAAAATGATTGCTTATTTCGCATTCAAAATTCGATTTAAAAAAAATATTAACTGCTTTGCAAAATGTTTTAAAAATTTGATACACGTATGCTTTCATATAGATTTTAACATGGTGGATATTTTGTTTGTAAATAATTAATTAAACCTTGTGTTTGTGTTATATTGAATTCCCACCAAATAGTAACTGATGGATTGAGAAATTCTGCATCTTTTAGATAAGTTATTGTAGCAACAGAATAATTAAGATCAGTTTTTGAAATATCTATTCCATTAAGTAACCAAGTTTTTCCTTGATCGAGAGTTTCAATTCCACAAAAAGCAAGGAATGTTCCACTACCTTTCATTGATATACCACGACTTAATACGTTAGCAAGATATGAACCAGGAACAGAAAGAGAAAAAATATTATCTTGAAAAGGAAATATACGTAAAATATCATATTGTGTAATTGTTCCTCTAAGAACATCATCAACACGTATTGATCCCGTATTAAAAACACCAATTATTGTTCCATTCATCGATGCTGAATATAAAATACTTTGACAAGCAATATCTGTTAATAATGTTGGAAAATTTCTTACGGATGTTGAACGACCATCTAATACAATAGAAGATGGTAAACAAGATACCGTTTTGTTAGGTTGAAATCCGATTTGTTCAAAACCTTTTATACCTGAATTATACCAATAATTGACAATCTCAGCTGTTTTTTGTTCATCTTCTAATTCCGAAGTTATTTGTGTTAATGTTCTATAAACACGCAATCGTTTTGTATTTAAATTAAAAGCACATCGGTGAATATAAACAGTAAATGCATTGGCATCAGCTTTAGTTATTGGAATATATTCAGAACCTCGTAATAAAAAATAATTTTCATGTTCATGTCCACCTAATATTAAATCAATTTGTGGTATATTTTCTGCAAGTTGTTTATCAATTTCTAAATCTAAATGAGTTAATGCAACTAAAACATCATATTTTATATTTGAAATAGATTTAAGAAATTGTTGAACAAATGGAATAAGTGATGTTTGATTAATAATACGAATATATGATTTATTTATATCGATTGTTAAACCAATTAAAAGAATACGAATTTTATCAATTGATAATATTTTATATCGACTAGTTGATGAAAATGGTAGATCAGTTCCACTTTTAAATACATTTGAACTAATCCAACTAAATTTTGATTCATTGATTCGTGCAATTAATTCTGTTTCATTTAAATCAAATTCATGATTACCAAATGTAACAAAATCAATACCTAATGTATTCAGAGATGCAATCATTTGTCGTCCATTTATTGTTGTTCCATTTATTTTTGATTGACTTAATGCTGATGGTGAAACAAAATCACCAGATAAAATAGTATATGTTTGACGATTTTCTTCTAATAATAATTGTCGAACACGAGCAACACGAGCTAAACCACCTTTTCGTCCTTGATCTAATGGAAGCATTTCATAAACATCGTTTAATTGTAAAAATGTCCATTGAATATATTTTCCATCATCAGGTAAACGAATAGGAAAATCTATTGTACCTTTAGCTACTGCATATTCATTATTTGAATGAGATTTTGAACGATTCCATAAAACTGCAAATGTTATCGTTGTTATTGTAAGACTAATTATTATTACAAATAAAATCAAAAATATTATTAAACGATTTTTTGGTTGAACCGATTTAGACCATTGAGAATTAAAAGTAAATTGCTAAATATTAACAAGAATAATTAATATTATCTATTTTTATCAATATTTTTATAATAAAACACTTTTTTTTCATGTATTTTGAAATGCTTACTATATTATCGGTTGACATTATAAATCTAGTGTCTATTTAATCTGAAGAATATAAAATAAATTTAGTGTTTTTTTAATACACAAGAATAAAATACGGTCTCAATTTTTGTTTGTTTTGTTCTTCAGTTTGAATAACCTAAAAGAATAAAAAAGAGTTATCATCGAGTTAAAATCCTCGAGTACTTCTTCTCAATGATCTTGAGAGTCAAGTAAAGATGCCTTATCATTATCATATGAGAACATGATAAATGATTATAAGTAGTAATCAAATTATAGTTTAATTTTTTTCTGTAAATAGTGAAATTGAATGGTATATAACACATAATGATTCTAATAGAAAAATTTAGTATTTTGTCAATGTCATTGCATGGCTTAACTTCAAAGCTGAAATACATAAATATTTTTAAAATGGTACAAAAAATAATCCTAAATCAAGTAATTGTCTTAAATCCTAATAATATCAAAATTTGAATACAACACTAAACATCAATTATTGTATGGCTCGTACAATCAAAATAATAGAACATTCAGAAAACAGAAATGCGCATATAAAAAATATCCAAATGAATTATTTCACATTGTTTATGAAGCTTATTTCTATTATAAAATTTTCTTTTTTTTTCCTAAAAACTCTTTTAAAAATGATTTCGTGCATTTCTAACCCAACTAAATTCTCACGTCAACTGTGTAGCATATCATTGAAGTATATTACTTAATGGAATTGATCTGCGAAAAAAACCTTATGATTATAAGATGAAAACTAGAAGCTAATTTCGATTACTATTTAACACTGTTTTCTCTTGACGTTGTCGAGATAAGTAGATTATACCTGAATAGGCTAACAAAAGATTATATACGTGTCCGACATTGTTTCTTTTGTGTTTTTTTCATCATCAAAACAAAATAGGTTACTGATTTTATGTGCAGGACTATGCATATCTTAAAAACTATATAAGAATAATAAATACTATTCAAAATTAGTTTTGTATATTAAAATAAAACTAATCAAAAGGAAAAAGTGATTTTTCTTAGTCTAGGATGTATAAAAAGAAAAAAATAACTTACAATTTAATGAATATTGAAATAAAGTCTATTTTCTTTGTATGTTTATGCACTACGAATCATAAAAGATTGACATTATATGATCCATCTCTACATAAAGAAAAAAAAACATGACATTAATCAATATCCGTCTCTCTTCTTTCTTCTGAATGTCATTATAATACCCTAGTCCATTCTCCCTAGAGAAATCCTCGGTGAGTCCCCTGAAAAACGTAAAATTCCCAGTGAGTCACTAGGGAATCCCCCAAAAAAAACTACGTGGACTCCCTGGGGAGCCACTTTCTAGAAACTCTTCAAGGTGTATTTTCTTCGCCAATTTCGAGTCTATGGCAAATCTCAGTGATATTATCATTGCGCTTTAGCCCTTGAAAAACAAGTATGTTGCAACATTGATAGAACGGTAGGCAGGTATGTCGCTCTGTGCTAATATCACGGATAAATGTCATGTACTTGCTTGTATATCCCTTAGGAAATTGTCCTCTTTATGAGGGACTACCGAGTAACTTATAGAGCCGCTCCCTGGACAATTCCTAGGGGCTCCCGATAAACTCCCTTAGAAATCCCCGGGAATTCGTTAAGGAATTCTAGACTAGGGTATGCATTCACAATTAAACCTATAAATATAAAAACAAATATTATTTACATCAGATCTCTTATAGTCTCATGTGATCAAGATGGAAATTCAAGTAGATGCTTATTAATCAGCGAGAAATATCATTTGTTTTTACGAGCACAATATTCATATTGATAGATGATATTTCATTTTGAATGATTAAGTCTTTCTCTATCTCAGTTATTGATGATTCTTGAATGAGAGAAACTGATTTTATCGATCATATCGATCAGTAATCATTGAAAGTGGTTCATGCCAATATGCATTCATCATTTCTGTTAAATGACTCTTAGACAAGTGTACCAATAATTCGATAATTTAGTCAATTTATGACTATCTATTGTCAAAATAAAAACATACCTGACATTCATAATCAGCAAAATTGTTACAAGGTGAATAATTCAATTAAAAAATCATTGGAAAATATAATTAAAAAAAAAGATCCGTGCAATAACACTAATATAGATACAAACAAAAAGAGATGAAATTGTATTTAACGATTCTAAAATAAACGAAAAAGAAAAACTTGAATCAAATTAAATTCGTATGACTTTTTCGGACATCGTAAGTTTTATTCATTGAACCTAACTGATTCTACATTTTAAAAGTAACTTAAAAAATTCAATTCACAACTCATACTAATAATGATTAGTTTAATCCATTTGAACGAAACCTATTGAGTAACTTCTATTGAGCTTCAATTGATATAATCGACAAAGAAACTATCCATCAAGCTAAGATGTAGCCTTAATGTTTATTTACGATTATTAAAATGATCGAATATCAAATTGACTATTGTTTCTTAGGTAAAAAAAGGATAAAAGATAGAGATAACCAGTGTGATGTCAAATCTCATGTTCACAGCAACACTGAGACACTATTTCTATCAAAATATACATTTCTGGTAGTGGTGTGCTCTAAATATACGGAGCCAGTGATCAGTAAACTGAAACTGTACATCTATAGTGGAAGAGATGGAAAAACGAGAAACGTAGCTACAATATAGCATTGCATTATAGTGTTGAATAAGTTACTTTTTTCACAAATAAACAGTTCTATAGAAATTCTTACAACTAACATGTTTTGACCTACTTTTAATAATATTTAATCTAGACTCGATCATGCTCCTCAAAAACAACGACTCGAACTTGGAGTCAGTTATTTTTAAAACTATATGGTTGAGCTAATGAAGCTAATAGAATTTATTTCTATATTTTATTTTCCTCGAAGTCTGGAAATTTGATGTAAAACACGGTTCTCTTCGGTGTAATTTTAGCCTAGGCTTTTACGAAAAGTTGGAAAAATGGACAACGAAACAGATGATATCTTTGAAGAACTTCTTCTATAAACGATTGAAAGTTATTCGAAAAATAGTTAATGGCACTTTAATAAAAATCCGACAATAATATCAGTAATACTGATACCAATGCATGCCTAATTTCATCTTATTGTATGGCATTAAAATTTGAAGTAACTAGAGTATTGGGTCTCTAGATGCAATCATTAACTTTGACATACCTTTTCATTCACTAAACGATCATCTTTGACTTCTTTAATAGCAAATAATATATCTATTAATTCTTTTTCAACAATATGTGTTGCAAGTTCTTTATTAGTTTTTGCCTATATTTCGAATTATATAAAAAGTTCGAATTTGTAAATCCGGATTGTTACAAGCACATAATTGTCTAAAAATTTCAGTAAATGGTTTAACCTAGAAAAAAACAACAAGAGAATAATATAAAAAAATAAATACAAACATCAGGTATTTTTTCACATATAATTCGATTATCTTGAATTAAATTATTTAAACGTTTACGTTCTCCATCTTCTAAATTTAAATCTTTTATATATTCAAGATCCGCTTGTAATGATGATAAAACAGCTAATGTTTCTAAAGCTAATAATTTAATATGATCATTTTCACCAGTAAAACATTTAATAACCTAATAATAAAAAAGTTATCAAATGAAAATTATGAATTATGAATTTATTTACTTCTTCTTGAACAACTAAATTATACATACATTCAACTGGTGCTTGTCCTAACATTGAATGTTCTTCAAACATATATTGTTCTATAGTTGAAAATCCACCTTCTTTTAAAATACGTTTTCGAACACTTTCACCAATACTAGCTAAATTAGTTAAAACCTTTAATGCTTCAAAATTTTCTAATGCTGTATGTTCAATTTTTAAAAGTTTTCTAATTGGTCGTACAAGTTCAAGCATCTAAAATATAATATTAGATTTTAGGTAAAAATCGATCATATTGACATACACGTTGTCCAAGAAAAGTTATTTCTGGATTTGTTGTTATAGCAATTTTAGCTAATGCTACAAAGAAATAGGAACTCATTATACGGAATAACTCAATTGAATTTTTGAGAATTAATGTAACCAAACATAAATCTAATAATTAATATGAGTTTTGAAGCATAGAGGCAGAATTTTCAGATCCTCCTCTACAGATCGTAACAAACATTACCATTGAAACATCATAGACATGA